CACACACACACACACACACACACACACATCCTTATTTGGCCCTGAGAACCATCCCACAGTGGACTCTGTCACACCTCTCCACATCCCTGGTGCCTCGCTTGGTGTTGTTCACACATGAATTACTAGAGAAATGAGGACTAGAAATAATCCAGCTCACCATGTGCTAACTTTTTACTTTTCTTAGGAACAACCAGGATTCTCTCAGGGCTGAAAAGGTAAGAAGCTATTAGCCATTTCATTCAATGGCTTCAACTGACTTTGCCACTTCTTTCTTCTCACACTGTGATTCCCTGTCTTCTCATCTGCTCAGCAGGGCTTAGACACTAGGTGCCCAGGATTGTTAGAACTGTGTGTAAAGTAAGAGTAAACAGGCACTGAGAATGTGCTGGAGCTCCCAGAAGCAAGATGGGTAAGTTTTTGCACACAGACTTCCTGGAACTTATTCTGACTCCTCTCTGCTCCTTCTGGTTTCTCCTTGATTTGTGGCTAAGCTCTGGGTGGATGAAGTTATGAGTCAGACCAGGCTTCCACTCTGGCAGTGAAGACAAGAGTTCCCCAAAACTGGGACCAAAGTCTCCTACTCCGGTCACAACTCCCTTCTCCCCAGCCCAGCCAGGCTCCACTTTAGAGAAGTGAAATCTTCCATCCCACTCCTTTTGAGAGCTCAAACGGTCGCCCAGCCTTAGCGTCTGACATAAGGCTCGACCCACAGAAGACTCACCATGGATGCTTTCCAAATGAACGCATAAAGGCATGAATAAATGAAAACAGTAAGTAACTGCCTCCCAGGCACTGACACTGAATCCTGGGGACACAAAGCCATTGCCAATGCCAGCTGCTGGATTCTTAAGAAATGCACACACGCCCGCATGGTTGACCCGCATGGAACCAGAGTCACTGTGCACACACACCCACCAACATGATTTTGGCACACAAGTGTCCCTGTGCCCGGCTTGGCCAATGCCAAGTCCACAGTCCTTAAACATACACACACACCCCCATGGACACTACAGACACACTCCTATAGGGCCAGGGTTAGACTGAGGTGAGTTGGATCCTGCCTTTACTTAAAATTTTGACATTATGTGCATCATAGATTTTTTTGCATTCATTTTGATTTTCTTTAAAATATTGCATTCAAATAATATTTATCTTTTTTCTGGATTTTTGGCACCCCCTTAAATTTTGCACCCAAGGCAAGTGCCTGCCCTGCCTCACATCCTGGCCAGGACCCTGACTGACCCCCACACGCATAGGGACATCTGTCTGCACACCTTTCACCAGGGTCACAGGGACACACAGTCTCTGCACAAACCTCATTCTACCACTAGGTGTCGCCCCAGCTCCTTCATGTTGGGCCCAGCCCCAACGCCGCTGTTTCCTAGGAAAAAAATGTCCAATTCACTTATTATTTGGGAGTCCTCAAGATTTCCTTTTACTTCCCTCCACCTGGGACATTTACATTTTCTAAAGGAGCCCGGAGGGGAACAGCATCTTAACTCCAGATAGTGGTGACTTGTCATGGTGGAATTTTAGGCAAAGATGAAGGAGACGGATTTTTCCTGATGCCTCCCATCCAGGAGCGGGGGTTGGCTTGAAATGGGTCTGGGATGGCCCAGGGGAAGGGCTGTTCTCCTGACCCTCCCTTGGCACTAGAGCCCCACTGTTTGAGAAAGAAAGAGACTCTGTGGGAGAGGATGGGATGCATCCATTCATTCAACAGATATTTGTTGAGAATCTACAGTGCGCCAGGCTCTGCTGTAGGCACTGATGATACAACACAGGACACTGGACCCTGATGAGCGGCCTCTCTTTGGGGAGACCGACAATAAGTAAATCAAGAAATCCTGGAAAGGTAGTGACAAAGGCTATGAAGAAAAATAATGCAGAGTAAGAACTTACAGAGTGGCAGTAGGGGGTTATTTTAGATGGCTGGTCAGGGTGGGCATCCCAGAGGAAGTGACACTTAAGCGGGAGAGGGAGGGAGTTGAGTAGCTACCTGGGGAAAAGGGAGTGACAAGTGCAAAGGCCCTGGGGCATGCAATGTAAACTGAGCTTACTCCTGTTCCATCCTCTGGGGACCCTAGGAAAGAAGTGACCCCAAACCCAGATAGTACTAAGATGTAGCTAGATCTTAAGGATGACTTCCCAGTGGTCAGAGAGGGAATACCTTTCCCACAGGGAAGATGGTGGGCCTTGGAGCTGTCAAGCTCTCTGATGGCTCCAAACCTTAGATGGATGGACAACTCCTTGACAGGTACTACTTCCCTGTCCTCAGGATCAAATCCCAACTCCTGCCCACAGCCCACAAGTTCTCACTTGGTCTGGCCCCTGCTGGCTTCCCTAGCCCCATCTCCCCTCAACTTCCCCTTCACTCTCTCCTCCCCAGCCACACCAGCCTCCTTGCTGCTCCTCAACACACCAAGTTTGTTTCCACCTCAGGGCCTTTGCACCTGCTGCTCCTGCTTTGAATGCTCTTCCCCTGGGTACAGAAGGCATCCTCTCTCACCTTCTTCAGATGTCGCCTTCAGATACCACCTTCTTAGAGATATCGAGCCTAACACACTTGCTAAAAGAGCCCGCCACCCCTCCACCATCATGTTTTAATCCCCTTTACCCTGTTCATTATTATTCATGCTACTTGCGTTGTATTATATATTTATTTAGCTGTTGACATTGTACTATATATTTATTCGGTTCTTGTCTTCTCTCTGCAGTAAGGTCAGCTCCAGGAAGGCAGGGATTTGATGACTTGGTTCATGGCTATATCCCCAGTGCTTAATTATATCTGTTAACTGAACAGACAAATAAGTGATTTATAGAAAGGACCCCCAGTGGAGCTAGAGCCTGTCAAGGACCGAGAAGGCTCTGGGAAGTGATGGAGGAAACTGAGAGGGGATAGAACCTCCATCCTCTGGACCCCTCCCTTCCCTAGGGCTCCAGGCTGGGTGGGCAAGCTGAGGTAGACCGGTTTATGACACGGTAGTGGCCGTGGTGGCCGCCTGGAGGCACTGTAGCCGGTGGTAGGACCCACCGGCCTTGCCCCAACTAATTATTCCAATTTAGCTCCGCCCCACCCACCATCTAGCCCCACCTCCACTGAACTCAGTTTAGTCCCGCCCTCAAACAGCCATGTTAGTCCCACCTCCAAGCTTCTCCCTCCCTTCCCTGGGGTCACCCCCCAGTGGCACCTTTCACAGCACTCGCCCTTCTAGGCAATCTTGGCGACAGGACAGGAAATCTAGAGTTTCCTAGGAGATAGCAGGGGTCGAGGAGCATCCCCAGGTGGTGGC